AAGGTGTTGTATGGGATCCTAATTGTCAAATTAAAATTTAAACTTTTTACCAAGCCAAAAGTTCAATGAGCATTCGTAGCTTAATTTTTAGGTTACAGAATTCCACTAAAGGTATTAAATATAGTCTATCAAAAATATTCCAAAACCATATCAGTAGCGAATGATTGAACTTTATTCCATATCCAAGTTGCTGGTTATTCAGATGAAGGATATCTGCACCTGACGTCTGGACAATAATGCTTGGTCCAACTGAGTTATGGACTCAGGGTGGGAAATACTTTTAGAGTAAGGCTTCGTGTATTAACATTGGTCTTTATAAACAAACTGAGCTTTATCTTATACTTATATCAAAAACCTGTCTATTAGGTTACTATATATTACTTATAACGATTAATTACATAGTTTTGTATATGGTATTAACGCTAAACCATGGCTAAAAGTAGTTCCATTCATTTTGTTTTTTTTATTGGAAATTTGTATGAGCAGTTGTTAAAAACCACCTCCCTTGGATATTTTAATCTTTTTTCAAATTTAGCTAATTTCTTACTCGGTTACTATTAGTTTGTAATAGCTTTAAGGCCATTAAACCCAGGCTAGATTTTAATTTTCGATCAAGGGATTTTAATTATATGGATCAACGTATTTCATAATAAAATTATGGTTTACAGTATTAGGAAAACTATTTGCAGCACTACAAGGTTTAGCACGGTCTATTTTATAGCTCGCTAACGTTTGAAATCATTCCTAACACGCTCAATAGAGACATGACTACCTATTTAAACAATGGAACAGTACCAAACAGTATGCATTACAGATTTATACATTGTTATAGGGAAATAAAATAGTTTAATTTCAACTGTCTTTTTGTCTATGTAATTTTATGGCTAAGGATTTGTCTTTAAACAACTAATGTTTATGACATTAAACCCAAATTCTAAAAGGTGGTATTTTATTTGCAGGATTTGTATAATAATTAAAGCTTCTAGGAACACTTGAATTCTTAGTATTGTCTTACAAGGGATTAAATGTATTTTAATGACGGCTGGATATTAATTTCTTAACAGAAGAACCATACAATACAAAGCTTCCAATTGAGGGATTGTTTTTGAATACAACGAATCACTAAATGATAATAAAAGTGGCATTTGCCAAAATTTTTCTTTTGAGTAAAATAATATTTACAGACACTTTTACATAATAAAAATGTACATATTAGTTAATTAATTACCTATTATCTCAGCAGTTATCTGCAATGGATTGTTTAAATAAAAACATGGTATTGTTTCACAAAAATGAATTTTTAGTTTATAGATTTTAGATATCATCTGGTCAAAAGAAGCTAATAATAATAATAATAATAATAATAATAATAATAATAATAATAATAATAATAATAATAATAATAATAAAGATTTACAAGATTTTTTGGGGGAACCACACCATTGTGGGTTACCAAACCTTGTGGTTACATAACATTTCATTGGGTCAATATACAAAAATTAAAAAGTTCCGTTCGCCATAAGGATAATTGTAGATCATTGTTTAATTAAGACTTGGACTGTCGTCACCACATCATCATAAAGTTGAACATGGTAACTGGAGGCAACTTGCAACTTAGTAATCAATAATTTAATCAATGTTAAGTCTGTTATTGTCGTGGGAGATAATATACTTGAAATTGAAATTGAAGGCTCAAAACAAAAAATGTTTAGATATAGAATCAAAATATTTTCTGAAGATTTCTTCATAGATTTGTAATAACCAACTGCCTTAAATAACACTAATGTTTGGTTTAATATACAGGATACTGAAATATATTTCATAGTTATCAGTATGTTATGATGACACAAACCCAGTCTGCAATTTTACCAAGCAAGATAAATATAAGTAGGCCTATTACATTTAGTTATTTTTGCGTTTTATTAAGAATAAAAAAAATATTTATATAGTAGGCCTATTTAGGTTGGTTGTCTTGTGACGTGTATGTGATTCAATAATTCAAACTTCCCATTATATACTCTTAATAATTGTATAAAATAGTTGTAAACAAACTTGGTTTGTGGATTATTTCATTTATTTAGTTTACCTACCATCTTAACGCCGAGCATAAAAGTATTTTGTCGTTCAAAACAATGTAACAAAATACTAACACAATGTAATGAAGCAGTGTTTTGCGGTGCTTGTAGTCACAAAGAGAGTTTGAGTACTTATAAAACATAATACGTAAGTTTACCAAGCCACTTTGGAAGAATTACATGGCATATTTAATATAACGGGTACGAGAGCACTAATAATACAGAAGTCAATCTTATAAACCTTATTCCAAGATATCTTTTGGTGCTTCTTACACTGAATTTATATTTGTAGGATTTCAATTCACAAATATAACCTGCTTGTGTCAAAGTAAAATTCAACTATTTAAAAGGTTGATTGAAGTCAAATTCCTATTAAAATTAAATTACTGTATATTGCGTTTTATATAATTACATTTGTTGGGTTATGAATAGGTAAATAATATCAAATCTTTTTAGCACTGATTCCTACCTGCAACTTAATGTGATTGACTTTTTATTCAGTAAATAAAACATTTTTCTTTTTGCAGAATTTGTGTATTTAATGAGTTTTCTAGATGCTATGAATGCTATACTTAAGCCTCTTTTCAAGGCTTTTCAGGCTTTTCGCAAAATGAATTTGTTCATTACAGCCCGTTGTAGGATTATATAATTCAATTTAAACGTAATTTATTAATATTTTAGAATATATATTTTAATTCTAAGAAGCTACCGATTGATGACTTCTTTAAACGATTAAGTCATCGGAATAAAAAGTAAAAATAACTAAAACCCTTATAATAAATATAGTTTTTAACATTATTAGTCAAAATGTGAAATTCAGCCAATACTTAAATCTAACAGAGATAACAAAGGGATTGGATAAAGTGTCAAAATTAACTTATTAGGACAGAAAACTTGTTTTTCACGTCGGAAGGTTCAGCAATTTGGCACCAAAATGTCAGGCTAGAAATACGAGAAGCCCATAGTAAAGGGGTATGCAATAAATTATAGCGAAGGGAGAACACTTCATCCAATGAAACACTTTGAAAAATTAAAGATTTATAAAAAATGAGTTTCATGATAAAAACTTGATTTTAAAAGTGAAAGCTATGTTTTTATTGTATACCTAAGTTAATATACTTAGTATGGATTTTAAAAAACATTTTTTCCTTAACCATAATAGTCCTGCAAATCTTATACACCCAATTACCTATTTAATGTAGTATTAAATGCATATCTGTAAAATCCGGGGTTAAAATAAGATTAACTCCATCACTAATGCATTATTCAACAAATAAATAATTTAAGCAAATCTGTGGCAGCAATAGACGTTGAATTGAGCTTTCACTTGTCAACTTGTTATAAATAATTGTGTGCTGACAATAGAAGCCCTATTTTGTTGATATTTATAGATTTTTGTGAGTAAATTTTAAAGTGTATATACACATTAAATATTTAGATACTCCTTTTGACTTCAGACGATGACAGTGGTTTAACTAAACTAATTAAAATTTCATTGTGAACTGTTTTGAATGCACTTCAAATGTTGTATTTGCTAAGTATGAAAGTCACTGTCCGAAATAACAAAATACCAAATTAAAATTTTTAATGGTAATTTGATATCAACATAATGTTACACAAAGACTTATTTATGCACACCAATAAATTGGCATTGTTGTTAACCAAGAGTTAATTATAGCAGTGCTCTTTGAATCAAAAATATTTTTTTTAGCTAATCCGTTACAAAATCCTGCATATATTAAAATGTACTTTTGACTAAAATATACTTAGCCATACTGCAGAAAAGACAGGCGTTTTTAATGCATGCATAGCGGGTCTAAAATAGAATTTTTACTCCCTATCCTTTCTAGTTTCAAGGAAGTAAAAATCAGTAAGTTTTATTAGGTATGTTTTTAGCCTATTGTTGTCGATCATTCTACGTATTTATGGTATAATGTACTGTAACACAATCGTAATAGACGAAATGATAGAATCACTTACTAAACAGCTGTTTATTTACATGATCAGATTTGAACACAAGCTGAAAGTCGTTTTGAGAGGTTATCTTTGCATAAACATTATTTCTTTGTCTAGCTTTGTTTGTTAATTAATTATACAATATGACAAATAATATTGTTCACCTCACGGGCAAAAGGTGTTTTTTTAACCCTCACTCATTTTCCGACCTCGGCTTCACCTCGATCGTAAAACTTGACCTCGGGTCAAAAAGTTTCACTTTAGGCCTTAATGATGAATACTATTTTATCACCCAAAGTCTAAATAAACTTCAACTTAAGTAACACAAAAATGGACAATGGTTCCAAAATAAGGACACATTAAGCGGCACATGCTGTGATTATATGACGTTTAAACGGGCATACATTTTATTTTAGTTATGTGTCAATGGCATGAACGTTTGATGATCGATTCTCTAGAAGGTCAGTTAATTTACATGATACCAAACAGTGTCGTTGACATGAGTGATTAATGGTACAATTTGACATTGTGTGTCATTGATAGTTAGAGGATGTTGAAATGTGTTTAATTTTTCTATAGGATGTGTTTAACAAGCTTTTTCTTAACAAATATTTTATGCCAGTTGTATTTGAGTGTAAAGTATTTTTGAAACTTTGTTAAAGATAACGTGATATATAATTTTAACAGTTTTCGTAGATCGTGTATGGTAAATTTACGATTATTTTTATTTGTACGTTTCAATGTATAAGATATCTAACGAAGCCATGCCTATCTTGTTTGTTTTATGTTGAGTAAGTTTATAATGATATTTTTTCTTGAGAAAAGTCATTATCTTTTTAATGGCCCGCAATTAGGCACAGCTGTCCCTGATGATTGAGATGCTAATAAATTGGGTAGTGTTGCTTTTCCAAAAGTAGGCCTACTGAAATGGCGAAGAGTTTAGAAAAAGGGAAAATTGTTAATAACTTAACCGTTCTTACCCATGCGTAGGTTCATTATTTATTTACATTTACTTTATTTACATAAATGTTACCTTAAAGTATTCTGAAAAAATACAATTATTTTTAAGTACTCGGGCTTAAAACAATGACACGAGATGCGTTTAATGGATGAATTAGAAGCAAAAGGTGCTTTAAAATGCCATTCCAGCTTCACGATGAGTCTCGTATATCTTGACGATGGAGTTGACGTAGGCTGCGGTTCTCAGGTCAAGACCCAGATTGTACTGTTGCGCTGTTCTTTTGATTGCCTGAAAAGAAAATTTTGGCAAATAATTGCTGTACCATCGATTTAAACCATTGAAATCTACCAAAATTATTCTTGTAAAAATTATATTCAACTGAACTCTCTCTTAGGTGAACCTTGAGATTTTTGTTCTATTTTATATTCAATGTAATCAATGATTGGCAACATACAAACCCGTTTGATAGAAACCTAATTTTGGGAACCATATTATGTACACTTTCTTCACAATCTGTAGCAAATTGATTTTACCTCACATTTTGGACATTTCTTAGAAGTATTTGTATCCATAAAAACTATTAACGATACGAGGTATTTTAATCCCAATGTAAATGGTTGTGCCTTAGAATCCTTCCAAATTATTTCGTAATTAGTTCAACTGAATTACATAAGAAAAAGGTGATTATAAATATTACTAAGCAAGTTTGTTCGATTACAAATTTGTGTGGGGCTACCATATACATTTACTATTTTTTAATGAGAAAGTGGATGTCTTTCACCTAAGATTTTATGTTGGGCAGTGCATCAAATTAGAATTAACATCCAATGGTTTAATATATAGGTTAAGCGAACCATGATTATCTTACCTTTGCAGATCGCTCCATTGTGTAGTCCAGCCCGGAGTGGACAATGTCTTTCTCGGAAGCTCCCGCAATTCTTTGTTGGAAAGCATCTGAAGGAGTCACGGGGATCTTTCCTCCCTGAGCTCCAAACTTTCGCTCTAAAGACTCCTGGACGGATTCTGAAACGTAACACATTGTCTAAAGTTTCATACAAAATATAGCTGTGCATTTAAATTGTTTCTACACGAACCCCCGAGTGTACAAAAAATCTGTTAAATTATGTAAAACAAATAAAAATGGTATACCTAGCAGGTGGTAGTTGGACTCCCGCTCGTACTTGAAGGTAAGTCTACCGTAGGACACATGGTTGAGGTTCTTGAGCCACTCAAAGAAGGAGACAGTGACTCCACCAGCGTTGAGATAGAGGTCGGGGATGACGAGTTTGTTGTTCTTCTGAAGGATAGCGTCTGCTGCTGGCGTCGTGGGGCCGTTAGCGGCTTCGCCTATCACCTAAACATACATAATAACATACATTAATAAGTGTTGATTTCCATAGAAAACTACTCGATATTTCTTCATCTAGAGATGTGATTTTTAAAATATCCTAGTTTCCTAAGCTTGTGATAAGACGTATGGGAAAATTGGGGGGTCTTAATATTTTTGGGTTTGGTAAACATAAGGTGCATTTGTTCCTATTAGCAGGTATTATGGGTTTGGAAATGTAGGTCACAGCATATAATATTGTAGATGGTATAGTAGATGCCTTACTAGCAAGGAGGGTGTATATTTTACCTTTGGGCCAACCACTTTCTCATTTGTTCATCAACATACAGACAGTCCCTAAAAAAAATCAGTATTAAGAAAACTAAAAACTTTCTTTTTAGTTTTTTCTTCGTAGGTTATTTTTGTTTAATCACAAAACTTGCTCATTGTATATCAAACATGTGTCAAAGATCATTTCCAAGCAAACGGCAAGATGCACGTAGACATAAAAAGATTGTTATAATTGGTTTTTATAAAATTAGAAAAATAAATCATAATCCGAGTTTAAATCATCAATGTGACAATAACAATTACAGTGTAATTTTATTACTGGTATTCAACAGGGTGAGGTGATCATTAGGGAGTAACACTACAGTTGCATACAAATGATCTATTTTCATTTATCTACTTCACGCTCAGCGTCTGTCTCATTAAGAGTATTCCCTGTGTAACCCAAGCGAGGATAACAATAACTAAAGCATGTCTGACCTTGGCCTTGATCTTATGCGCGTTATCTTTAGTGATGACCTTCTCCAAAGCCGCTGGAATAAAGATGTCGCACTCCTCGTACATCAGACTCTCACCTCCGTACGGTTTTGCTGAGGGAAACCCTTTGATTGTGCCGTAGTTGATCCTGTAGTCTTCTAGAGCCTAGAATATATAGTTATCATATAAAATTATACTACAAGGGGACCCTACTTTAGCGGACCTTACCAAAAAACTAGCTATTTAGAATAAACTTGTTTTTATTTTACTATTCAAACTGCTTTTTAAATTTTTTTGGGGGGGGGCGATTTTTTATACCCATTGAAAGAGTCTGGTAAAACACAGTTAAACCATGTTTTCCACAAATACTTTTAATTTGTATTTTAATTTTTTTCTATAGTTTATCTTGAGTGTCAAATATGATGATGGAGTGCTTCAAAGGAATTTGATTTTTTTTCCTATAGCACCCATCCCATTATATGTACGTATTGTACATCAATTCTGTGGTTTGATAATTCCATAACTTCAAATCTGTTTCTTACCTTAGGGTCGATTCCTTCAGGGTTGAATATTGAGCCATTATACTCCATGACTCCAATACACCTGGCGCCAGCTCGGTGGAGGTATCTCATAGTGTGAAGACCTACGTTACCGAATCCCTGTACAGAAATCAAGTTGGTAAGATGAATCCTTAGAAGAATGTTATTAAACAACAGTTAGTTTTTTAGGAGAAATATAAGCAATATTCCATACCCAGCTTTTTTAAGACCAACGCTGGGATATTTCATGAGATAATATACTCTTTGTATTTTTCTTCTGGTTAAAATTTGCCGGTGGCGCAAAAATATGTTTTTCAATTTTTTTCTAGACAGCTTGCTGTATATTTTTAGCAAATGATAAAGAACTATTCAATTCTAACACCGTTTTTGGAAACTGAAATAGACATCCTGTGTAGTTGATTTACCAGAGGATTAATCAATTGATAAATAATCCACTTACAGGTGTGTTATTGACTAAATTTGAGTAAATTTTACCCTTCAGTTTTGTGACTGAGATAGGTAATGTTAATTAATTTTTTATCAGGTGCTTTACAATAAACTAGCTTACTTACTTACTTACTTACTTACTCCCTCGACGTCGTTGACCAGCTCTTCCTGGATAGACTGAGTCAAATAAAAATAATAATAATATATATATACATATTTACAAGTTTGGCGGCAGGTTAGACGCAAATTACCCACGAAGCTGTTAGAAGCTGTTACCCACGGGCCCCACCCCGTTTTACTACATAAGTATTAATAAAACTATTGATTGGTTAAGTTAAGCTGAAATAAACAAAACAGAATACAGTAATGGTAATACAAACAAATAATAGCAGCTGAGGTATTTTTAACATTAGGTAAATGGAAAGTTCTCTTTGGAAAGCAATTACGACTTCATATGAAATAATATGGCAATTTATGAAATAATGGATAGTTTTGCGCAAGGTTTCTCGTCATGACGAACATTTTAAGTATATGGTTTATGTCACTTGTAGTTTTCTCAAACGCTCATGGGTACTTTTGGCTTGATATAAAGATAGTGCTTGCAGATTTACTGGCTAAAGATTTGGCTTATTCTACAATTCCACATTAATAAGAAATGTATAAGTTTATTTATTTATTAGGTTTTTCATTTGGGTACTTAAATAGTCCCGTTTACCTAGAAAACATGTAATTTATTAAACAACAATCGTTGGAACAACATCATTGTTTTCCTCAAAGCTCACAAATATTACCTGTACAATGAAGGTTTTCCCCGCCCAGCCGGGGCTAAGTCCGATGGTCTTCATGTATGAGGCATCATTGATGAAGTTCTGGATACCATGGAACACTCCACGTCCTGTGGCGGATACTCGTCCATGGATACCTCCCTGGTTGATGGGCTTGCCCGTTACACAACCGTGGGAGTTGATGTCTTGATAGCCTGGGAAATGTTTGGAATTCTTGCATTTTTTAGTCATCATAAGCAGGATATTGTCAATGTATTATATTTATCATTGTTTAGGACTAGGTTTTCTCACTGTCATTCTCAATACCCGTTAAATGTTAGGTTAAATGATGTACCTATTGATTAAACAATACAAAAGGGGACCAAGCCTTCATTGATTGACGAATTAGGGCTTTCTCTTCACAAGAGAACAGAGCAGTAAGGTACAGAGGAAGCATTCAACGGTACAGCTTTAGTCGGTGGTGTTTAGGGCAAAGTCCAAAACCACCCCATCACCGTCATTTACTGCAACGCTCACGGTGGAGAAAGACACTGTGCCCTGTGCAATAGTAATTTCCGCATAGTTAATACTCGGGTTCTTAACTGCTCACCAACAGTATTTTCCTACACTACATAGCCTGCTAGAGCTGAATGTGCAAGGTTATCTTATAAGCAAGTTTGTTTTCCTTTCCTCGGAACCTTACTGCTCTGTGATAATAGGTACCAAGAGCTTAAAGAATCTTAAAGAATACAACATAAGCTGCCATAATCAATGTCCACGGTAACAGCTGATTGGGGAGGTTTTGTTACTTACCGATGGTCTTAGCGTAAGTGTCAGCAATCCAGGACATTTCCCGCTCTCCCGTTCCCATGTCTGGAGCAGGGACGTCAACTCCCGGTCCTGAAATATAATTTATAAATAAATAAAGGTTACCTTACGTATAACAGTATACTATACATACATTCATGTTATACATCTAATAGAAATATGTCTTTAGGTACTACAGTACCAAAATTAGCAACATTGCCATCAAACAATCTTGTAATACCCAAATTATAACAAATGGGTAACAAATATTACCCAAATTGGGTTGCTGCAAATCTCATTAATTCCTTGTTGTTATCCAAGCCAAAATCAGTGTTCGTAGATATTTTATGTAATTTATGGTTAAGATAACAAATACCAAGCGATATCTTTAGTAGCTCATAAGTGATCCGGCCTATTGAACATTGTCCAGTATAGTAGTTGCTTATCAATCTGTTCTTGTGCTATGCAGCACACTTAGGGAACTTTGGAGTGTCTTTTGTTTACAGGCACATGACATTGTGAATAGGTTTATTACTTGTCACTAATCTGGCAAATATGATAAGATTTAGTGTAATCCAATGTGTAGTACTCAAGTATGATACATTTCATTAATCTTTTAAGAGGAGGAAAAATCTCTTATTCTTATTTACAAATTTAAAACATCAATTCAACGATTGTATAAACGGCAGTTTGTACAATTATAATATATCATTCAATTTTGGATAGTTGTATTTTTAATTAGGCCATTTCATTGGGGATTGGCAGAACTTGAACTCAGGACCCCTAGGACCGAATTCCCACGTTCTACCACTATACCAGCTCCCATAACATGGATATTGACTTTGGCAGTCCATCAATTGAGATAAATTGTTGTATTTGTTTTATTAAACAAACCTCTTTGATTTAGTAAATCAAAAATTTTTTTAAAAGATATCAGATTCTAAAATAAGATGTCCATTCTGTTTTTATTGCTTAAAGACATTTGGCGTATTCGACATCAGTAATTTATACAAGCACACTCTATCGTTAATTAATATTAACTACTTTATTTACCTCATAAAACTGGCATCGAAATTTCTTATTCCACGGAATTGAAAATTCTAGTAAATCCATAGTCAAAATGTATTTACTATTAAAAAACTATCTAGCAATTTTTAGCTGTATTATTAAGAATATGTTATTTGAAGGATTATTGAATTCCAAATAATTATTCCTAAATATGATTTAATTATTTGTTTACCAAACGTTATTAAACTCTCACCTCTCAAAGGGGATTAACTTGATTTTTCTTTCAATATTTTACCCTTTAATTTAATCACTGGGGATGTCCCAAAGCGTTTTCCCAAACCACACCAATCTTAAACTAGGTCAAGACTGGTTCTGAGTAATATTCATCTGCAATGATGTATTTCTGCCCAAGGGAACAGGGTGGAGCCGCCACCAGTCATATCTCATGTGCGACCAACGCCTTGCATCATACATTATATATCACGGTACGGTGGACAGCTGGGAAAGGTGTTATGGTATTGCTGCCCAGTTTTAGGTATGAAACATTCTTTCTTGCAATGATAAACTGATTTTCTTTATGCCAACCTCCTAATTTTGTATATTTTTAGTAGTTATACAGGGTTGGGCAAGTATGGAACCTCCATCAACTACTTAATGGGTTGTGTCAGGAAAACCAAACTCTAGACTCCCTCTTTATGACGTAAAAGTGTATTTTTTAAACCTAATTTCATCCAAAACCCAAAATATGTTGTTTTGGTGGTTACTCACAAATTTTGAATGCAAATCCCCATGAAAAGCACCTAATTTTAAAGGTCATTAGTTTAAAACAAATTGGTCAAAACTAGAGGTCTCTATCTCAACCCGTTACGCAATTTTAAACATGGTATAATCTGGATGTCACAATACAAGTATATATTGGGTATAACACAACCTTACATGTTTCTTTCAAAGGTTATAAGATTCAAATCAAGTAAATAGTTTCTGAAAAAACCATAGTCCAAAGTAGCATAATAAATTGATAACGAGAAATCTTATCCCACTTGAAGTTAAATTGGGTAATTTTTTTAAAAGAATTAACAGTGATTTATTATGCTCGATATTCCAAAAATATAAACTAACACTATTTCTAGTTTAGCAATCTGAATTTTATACCACGATCTTCATTATAATAATTATAGTGCTATGATACGTTATCTAAACTGGCTAGACAGTATATATCTTTTGCTTGCAAACGCATTTAAAATAAACACAATTTAGTATCATGTTGTTTCATAACAAAACAATAAACTTTTTGAATCTAGTGAGAATTGTAAACATTTAATTCAATGCTAATTGTTTTTAAATTAAGTCTTTCTACATAATTGTAGTGTCATTCTTAAAATATTTTTTTAAGATTTTTCTATGTTTTTAACATACTACATACAGTGGTTGAGAAATAAACTGCAAATGTGTTCTAGCATTTCTAGTCACGATGAAATACAGTTCCATCACAACTCTTTGTTCGACTTTATTTCTGGAAGTATCACAGGATTTATGTTACCAATTCCAGCGTTCTGTGGTTCTGTCCCACATCTCAGATATAAACTAGGACAGCGCTGGATTGAGTGATTCACTCATTGTTCATCTCTGATGATAACACACAGAAATGATTGATCTTTAAATGTCAACTGATAAAGCGGAGAAGTTCAAATAAATAACTCAGATGTTTGAGATATTTTTCAGCCAAATACTCAGTTTTTGTTCAATATTGCCAATAAAGTGAGTATTTTTTTTTCAAGCTTACTATCTTCTCTTCTCTTTGCGGAGAGTGTACTAAAAAAAAATGGTGTAACATTGAATAAGATAAAACAACACAGACACCACACAGATCCAGTTATGTGTTTATTGTGGATTTTATTAGTTTTAGGCGATGATGCATATCTCCAACTAGTTAGTTTTTATTCGTCTAACACTGCGTCCCAAAATGTTTTCTGGTAAGAAAAATATATAATAGAGCTTTCAAAAATGTCATTCGACTATGTGAATATGTAAATAGACATGGTTCAAATAAAAAATTGTCTGATGTCGAAGAACGTTCATTTCATTGAAGAGTGTATCCGAAGGGTAGCGCCGAAACCTGCCTAAAGCTGCATTTATTATCGCCTTTTGGGTGATTATTAATGGCTTTAAAATATAACCATATGCACAGCCAGAGGTTATTATTCCTCCGTCAAGTAGAGACTGCAGATAATCTATTGCCTTTAAGATTTTGTAAATGAAGTTCACAAACAATATACAAACGATGAGGCGTGGTTTTTAATCACTACTATTTATTTCTAGAAGATATGATAGTGTTACTGACTTTTTTATGCAGTAGCATCAAAAATTCAAAACAAAGTTACTCTTCCCTATGAAAATATGGTCTCGTTGAGAGGTCCCGAAAGTAAAAATATTATGAGAGCAAATAGGTTCACAGAAATCTAGGATTTGCCCTCAAAAGAACCACCTTTATTAAATTTTGTAGGGTAGTGTTTGTAGCATTCAATATACAAATAACAAACGTAATTTTCTATTAAAATATAAATTCAAATTTGTAAGACAAAATTATTTTAATGAATTCAAATCTTAAATCTAAGAATTGAAAAAAAAAACTTTGAATCTTCATAGAATTTATGAACACTGTAGAATTGTCTTAAGCATTTTAACAATACAACAATGTCAAGCTAAAGAGGTTTACTACTGACCAATGAAGCCTTTCTTGGCAAGTTCCAGTGCAAAGCGGCGGGTGATTGTTTCAAGCTCCAGCTCACTGTAGTTCTTAGGGTTGATCTTGACCCCGGCCTTGGCTCCACCGAAGGGAACGTCCACACAGGCACACTTGAATGTCATCAGCGCAGACAAAGCCTTAACTTCATCCAGGTTCACGTCTTCCGAGTATCGGATTCCTGATAAATATTTACAGTTTTGAAATAATAATAAAAACACCATTTAGTCCTTTTCTTGACTGCGCCTAAACGAAGGAAGAAAATTGAAGGTCAAGACTAAACAAACCTTCTTTCGTCAGTTTCCCTCTTTCAAAAGATTTTTGGTCATACATAGCCCCGGGGCCGATTTACTCATTCATTTTGTGGCCTCCAGTTCTTATAAACCCCATCCGTTCCTATTCAAATATATGCATGAATTATATGCATAAATAAATATGCATATATTCGATCATAAACAGATGGTGTTTTTAACAACTGGGGGCCACAAAATGAATGAGTTATTTATAATATGAATGAATGAGTAATTTATGAAACAATTTATTCAAATATTTATAAGAATAAATGTATCCATTCTGTAGGCAATGTGCTTCCTTTAATTATCACAATAGTTCGCGTAAAAATGATCCTAATTTAAATATTTGTTTCTCTGTTATTTAAATAGATAATACATCTGAGAACAAGAAAATATTTAAGTAAAGATCCAATCAGGCAAATAAACTTTCACTTAGTCTTCAGGTTTGATGCGACGGGGGTATTTAATTTGTTCGACATGTCGTAAGATAGTTATAAAGCTAATCAGACCGTAAGACATAAGGACAGAGAGAAGGGTCGACAGAATCGCAGATTCACCAGAAAGACAGATAATGCAAGAAGATTAATTAAGGATGTGATTACAGTAATTAGAATGTTGCGATTAATTAATCACAATCCCTCACGAATCGTTTTGTAAAGTAATAAATAACGTTAAGCTACGATTTTGAGAGCACTTCAACGTAGTTTGACTATGGAATATATCTAAAGGATATTAGGCTTTTAGAATGTTCTCTGTAGATGTTCACTGTTGATCCAAAAGTGTTCTATGGTGTATAACAATAAGTGTTTTGCTAAAAGAAGCATATTTGAATTCTAAATAAGTCACAAAGCATTGATAATATTTTTTGGCATCTCAGGCCTAAGGTACGTAAAGTATAATGCTAAGATTATTGGAATATTTATTATCATTGTATACTGTAATCGACATTCAGGTGTGCAATTCCGTTATGTTTTGTATCAATGGTGAGGGTATAAACTTGATGACATGATTGGACCAATAAAAATTGTTGACAAAAAAGGAATGGGACTTAAAACTTAACTGGATTATAAACTAGGTTGGATTATTCTTAACACTAAACAAGCAAAAATTATTTTTCAATAATCCATGATACATATTTTATTTTTCAGGCTATTGGTTTCTTTAATACTTACATTATTAATCGTTAATAATTATTAGTTTTTTATTTTATAATACATAAGTAATTTGTTCTATTTTCACTTGGATATTACAATAATATACGGCAATTTTTGGTAATTTCTTAAAGTTTTTAGTTTAAAAAGTATTCAGTGCAGAAAGTTTACATGGGTTTGATTCTGTTCCTTGACATAGAATTTATTTTACGCATTTTCAATTATACAGAGGTTTTTTTTAAGTGTGCCACCATTGGGATCTAAGTAACTAATGATTTTACAGCAAACTTTAAATGGGGCATTCCCTTGTTTTTAAAGAGGTTCAAAAATAATTAAATGAAATTTTTGTAAATGGCCGCCATTTTCCAATATGGTGGTCAACTTTGAAATTTCTAACGGAACATCCTATATTTTATCATGTTTTCGGATAGAACATGCAATTTAAAAACTTTTTTATTCACGACATTTTTTCGATAAACCCACTCGTTTAGGAGTTACAGCCTATGGAAAAATGACTTCCGGGGTACATTTTACATCATGTATAGCTCCTAAACAAGTAGGTTTATAGCGAAAATGCGAGAAGTTAATAAGTCAAATAAGTCTAAAAATTCCATCCACATTCCATAAAGACCATAAAAATCATTAAAAATATTAATTCTATTATTTCAAAAATGGCGGCCATTTTCCAAAATGGTGGCAAACTTAAAAAGTGGAAAACTGTGTATTTTATGGCCTTTATGGAATGTGGATGCAATTTGAAGACTTATTTAACTTATTTACTCCTCGCATTTTCCCTATAAACCTACTTGTTTAGGAGCTACATGATGTAAAATGTACATTGGAAGTCATTGTTCCATAGGCTGTAACTCCTAAACGAGTGGGTGTATCGAAAACAGTCATGGATAAAAAATTTTTTAAATTGCATGTTCTATCCGAAAACATGATAAAATATAGGGTGTTCTATAAGAAATTTCAAAGTTGACCGCCATATTGGAAAATGGTGGCCATTTACAAAAATTTCATTTAATTATTTTTGAGCCTCTTTAGAAACAAGGGAATGTTCCCCATTTAAAGTTTGCTGTAAAATCATTAGTTACTGAGATCCCAATGGTGGCACACTTTAAAAAAACACCCTGTATACAGGGCGATTGAGTGTGCCAGCAGTTTTATTCGAAAACCATAAGAGATATCAAAAAAAATTAAATGGTAAGTCCCTTGGATTTTCTATTTAAAAAACTGTAGTCAAGTCAAAAAATTATTTAAGCCGCCATTTTTTCAATATGGCCGCCAACTTTGATTGTTCTTATAGAACACCCTGTATTTTATGATGTATTCCATTGGTAGAAAATGTAATTTTAAGACGATTTTATTCTTGTGATTTGTTTTCATAAACCTAACCGTTTCAAAGATAATAATGGTTTAAGTTGTGAAAATTTGAATGGTTTTCTAATAAAACAGCTAGCATGCTTGCATAGGCCTTTATCAAAACTCTTTCTCATGCAGAAATTTCAAAACTTTAATCATTATTATCTTTGAAACGGTTAAGTTTATGAAAAATATTACAAGAATAAAATCATCTTAAAATTACATTTTCTACCAGAATACATCATAAAATACAGGGTGTTCCATAAGAAAAATCATAGTTGGTGGCCATATTGGAAAAATGGCGGCTAAAATAATTTTTTTGACTTGACTCAAATTTTTTTTTATACAAAATCCAAGGGACTTACTATTTAACTTTTTTTGATATATCTTATAGTTTTCGAATAAAACGGCTGGCACACTTATATCAATCACCCTGTATAGAAACTAAAGTAATGTGAATCCTACTTCTGTAATGAGAGCACCCTGAATAACTTCATTTTTTCAGTTTTAACAGTTAAAACCCTGAATTTGTGTTTCAGTGTCTCAAATTCAAATCTTTCCTTGACTATTTTACAAAACACGGGGATCTAGAGACCAGCCTAATTAAAGAAATTGTATCTAGACCAAGAACAAAGAAGTGGAAGAGTGTAACCGTCTATTATGGAAAAGTTATATTTACTTCCAGTACAAAAACAAAAAGAATTACTTACCTCCCTTGGTAGGAGTTCTATGCGTGCTGTGCTGAGATCTATACCCTGTTATGATCTCATAGTCCCCGCTGTCCCTCCTGATGGGAAAACTGATCTCCAGGATATGATCACAAGTCTGCATCCCCAACAGGATTCCCTTCACCTTCTTCCTCTTCTCATCCGGAGGCTCTCGTCCCTTCATATCCTCCACCAGCTTATCCTCAGCGATGGAACACGCACGGTGGAAGAAATACTCCACCATGTCGAAGAATTGAGGATTTGCTGCGGTCGGGACATCTTTTAGCTTCTCAGGAATCGTGTGGCGGTAGCGGGCGTTTTGAGTCGCTGGGACAGTAAGGGTCAAAACCCTACCTAACTCTTGCCCTAACGGTAACTTACTCACTGTCTTTATTCCGAACATTTTACACACTGTAAAGTTACACACTAGCTTAGCAACTGACTTTCAAGAGGCGTTTTAAGGCGTGGTATCACGTGACAATCGCTGATAACAGCCGGTAAACACTTATCAGTGACATTGACACACACCGACTTATCTGTCACTTTACCCACACTTACCCGCACCTACTTCACTCGCAGTCGTACAAACATGCTTTTTAAACTAGCACTTTAGACAATGTTGTAACACAAACATTTGGATGTAACAGTATAATATTTAAACTCGTTCTCTCAACGATTAAGATATGATGCAGAATCGGTTTGAATAATTATCAATGTATGACGTATGTTCAAATTATTCTTACATCGAAATGTGTTATGTAACATCTAAGTTTACCGTGATCAATTGCTGCAGATTTATTAGATTTGTAACCATGACCTACATACACTATATACTTACTCATCCATTTGCTATGTGATACTTCGTATGTTTTTATTCTATCTAACAAGTTTGTAATGCTGTTACATTATTTAAATAATATCAGGTTAATTCAAATTATTTTAGATGTGGTGGTAAAATATTAAAAAATTATACTACAAGAATACTAAATCTTAGCCTGGATGATGGAAATATGTATTGAATAATCAGGATCAACATGAACATCCAACAACTATATTCTCTCGAATTTTATATAGAATTTTATTCTGTATTTTACAACAGCGGTCCACGCTAAAGTGAATACCTCTAATCGGAAACACAAATTCTTGAATTCTTTTAAATCAACATACCGTGATGTATATTTTGAATAAAATTACGTACCTGCAACATTTAACACAAATTATAGGCTGCATAGTGCATAAATGTGTTTAAAATTACATATTTTATAAATAAAACTTGTAATTTTGTATTAGCATTGACAATTGTTGCACAGGTAAGTGTAAGCACAACCCCCTATCGACTTTAACTTTTACCTTCGTGTTTTTTATTGGAATTTGATCATTCAGCTCATTACATTTTTCATTAAAGAATTACGTGCTTTAAAAAAAAAAAAAACTAGCTAAAATACTCATAATGAGAAATGTTTTTTTCATTGTTTTTCAGTTACACTTAACTTTAGTGATATTATAACATTAGTTACCGTAAGCAATGTAATGTTATTCAGGAAGAGTTAAGAACAACTAGAATAAAGGAGAAACATGGCTGCAAGAAAGTCAAACTTGTGCTTAACATTGCTATTAACCAATCTTCAAGCTACATGGAGTAGAAAATATTGTCTATATATAGAACGTCAAAAAGGAATAATTTAAACGTGTTTCTACCAACTTCGACAAAGTCCTTGTTTGATGAAATTTAAATGTGAATATCAACAGCACTGTGCCGTTTCAATAATACTTTTAAAAAAAAACTAACTATTTGCATCGTGTTGTTGACAACCTATCATGACTAAACAAAACGTGTGTATATAATTGATTATGCATCGCGATATTTTTCAGGTATCTCTTATAAATAGATTGCATTAATTTAGATTAAATAATTTAAAAACGCTGAGAACAAATTTGATTATAAACAAAGCTTCAATTTTCATTCTAAATATATACAGGGTGACAAAAAAGTCTGGAAACGGCTTGATATCTTTTTAACTAAATTCGTTAGAAAATGTAAACCTTTCACATCAACTTATATGTATGAAAACTACTTTTTGCAAGCGTTACTATTTTTGTACCTTCACCAGGGGACGGCCCATGAGGAGTAGGTACATAATCTTTAATGTAAGCATAGATTGATATGCACATCATTTAAAAGGTCTGGTCAAGTGGAGTTCATTGCCGGAAACCGCGTCAAAAAAGGTTCATCCGTTACAAAATGGCGGCAGTCCAAAGTTCTTGCAGAATATACCTGCACAGGCCTTAGTAACTGTAAATACTCGTAGTCAACATTAGCCGGGAAATCTGAAACCCGGTTAAATTTGTTTTTAAGATTGAATAAATTTAGTCTATGAGCTAGTTGACTTTAAAATACAATTTCAGCTCTTAAGCTAATTATATAGTGGTTTAAATTACCTTGTTACTGTCAAAACGATCCTTTGTAGTTAGTAGACTACAGCTGTTTCATGCTACGAATGGAGCACATCATCAGGTCAGAAGAATGTCAAGTAGTCTTCATATTCCTCGCAGTGGAGTTCGTCAAAAGTTTAATAATAAATAGAGAACAAAACACATAACACACGGAAACACGAAACATTTAATATTGGTCGACCAGACGACGGTAACAACACACGTGATACGGCGCCGGTAGAGGGTGAGTCGCGACTACATTGTAAACATTGTAAAACATTGTACCCTAGTTTTATAAATTTCATATTTCACAAGAAAATCTCAATCCCGTCTAGGCTTGAAGTACAGTTTTAAAATGTGAGTCTAGTTGTTTAGTTTACGCACTCATATTTACATGACAGCATACATTTTTAGGCTTAAGCTAATGTTTAATACGAGTATCTACCAATCCCAAGGCCTGTGCAGGTATATTCCACAAGAACTTTGAATAGCCGCCATTTTGTAACGGATAAACCTTTTGAGACGCGGTTTCCGGCAATGAACTCCACTTGACCATACCTTTAAAATGATGTGCATATCAACCTATGCTTACATTAAAGATTATGTACCTACTCCTTATGGGCCGTCCCCTGGTAGAGGTAAAAAAATGAAAATGCTTGGAAAAAGTAGTTTTTATACATGTAAGTTTATGTGAAAGGTTTGAATTTTCTAACGGATTTAGTTAAAAAGTTATTAAGCCGTTTCCATACTTTTTTGTCACCCTGTATAATCTCAACCTATATTTACTGATTTTTTCAACAATCTTGAACCAAAAATAAACATTTTGTCTCCTATCTATGGGGAAAGATTCGATTAATGGTATTTTTCTGTTTATCAAAAGCATTGATAAACTGTTGTAGTTTTGGTCGCTTGGTAGTTTTAGCTCCAAAAATGTCAAAACAAGTAAAACTGTTTGAACTCTTACTAAATAATTTTGATTTTTAAGGGTAGTTATATAACATACAAATACTATCGAACAAATCATAATTTAAAATAATGTGGCTTAATACTAAACTACATTGTACCCTAGTTTTATAAATTTCATATTTCACAAGAAAATCTCAATCCCGTCTAGGCTTGAAGTACAGTTTTAAAATGTGAGTCTAGTTGTTTAGTTTACGCACTCATATTTACATGACAGCATACATTTTTAGGCTTAAGCTAAAAACATTAAAGAACAACTTTTTTGAATGTTTACATTTATTTTAGATCTGTTTACGTAAAAAGGGAAACTAAAATGCAGATTTTTAAAACTGTGTAAACTCTAGTGCATTTACCTTTCTTTTGAACAGTTTCCTGACCTCTCGTGAATGAAGACGACTACGAGGACACTTCTATCCCCCCCCCCCCCCAAGTGCCCCTTAGTTTGAATGTTACTATGCACCAAATAATTTACTGATGTTACGTTTCACCGCTTCCACGTAAACTGAGGAACTCATCAATAATCCAGGTTGCGATTACCATGACCAATTTCCCAGGACATGGATCAAAGTGAATCCATTAATACCTCTAGTTAAACGTAGTTATCGTAATCAAAACTGTCGCATCAAGGCACCAAAGATTACAAATCCCGGCACAGTTAGCATTAATTATTGAATCACAAAAGATCTAAACAAGATTGCATGTTATAAACAATTTTTAGGGCACAATTAGTTACATTTTGTATTTTCTTTAGATAGCTTTTGTTAGCAAAGTAGAGAAATAGGATATACAAAATAAATATACTACTAAAAGCTCCAACAATTTCATGGTCATTTATTGTATTATTTTTTCATAAACATTTCAGTTTCTGATATACAGGTGGTCCAAAAATAACTGACCAATTTTAACATAATTTTTTTTATTTCAAAAATTTTAACTACATGGTAAAATTTACATTTGTACCTAAAAAAACCTTCATTTATATGTAAAAACCTCAAAAGGTTTTTGGTAATATTCAATAAATAGCAATATGACCACATCGCAATCCTGCTGCAAACCTGTTGCATCTCTTGGGGATGGGATTAATGGTAACGCCGCCAGATCCCTAAATGGTGGTCATTTATTGCGATTTGTTGAATATCACCAAATAGATCCTATAAAATTTGTGTAAATCCATGTGATCTTAGACGTTGCTAAATGGCAACTATAATTGCCCTTCTGCACCTTATAGGTTAACCTCACGTCGGATCGAAGTCATCACTAGGCCCATACTGGATATCCTTGCTTCTTTATTTGGGGGTCGTCTTCATTACTAATAAATAAAATACGTATGTTAAAAGCCATGAAAACACGAACATTTAAGTGACAATAATCGGGAAATAATACTGACATTAGGTGCGACACGACGTGATTGGATGGACATGATGTATAGTTGCGGGTCAACGTGGCCGGTGATGACGTCATTCTTGTGTTTTTCGATCCTAGGAATGTGATCAGCCACTTAAAAGAGATTTAAAAGCATAGAATTTATTTAATATTTGCATTATTTCTAAAATTCCAAAGCACATATAACCTAGTCTCACGTTTGCCTCGATTAAATACCTCTTTATTGTTAGATTGGTAAATGACAAGTAAAAAGTCATGCTAAAACAAAGTTTATAGCCAGAATACATGACGTCATTTAGTAAAAGTAGCAATACTGTAAATTCTACACCTCTTGACTCTCGTCACACAATATTTAGTCGTTATGATCCATTACTCATTCGGCCACAACAATATTGTCATCATGTCACCCTGAAGACCACCCATTATTCACAACTAAGTGATATGTTGACAGTAATGTGTTGATCGTTTCATATATTCTGAAAAATTAACAAGATGTATGTTGAGTGAAAAGCTTTATAATATTTATCATTTTACCACTTTAACAGTATTTGTAATCCACACACAGAAAATACCTGCATTGTATTATTTTGTTAGTCTAGTGTACTCTTTAAGCCAGTATTAAAATGTTATTATATTTTAAATTCAAATCAATATGCTATCATAGCAAGAGATTTTTTACGCATATTGTAACACTAAATTAGAAACAACCAAAATTTAGTAAATAGGAATAAAATTAACATCTTTCTGGCTAAAAC